GCAGATTTATGTAACATATGAGACTTACTGCAGAACTTCCCTTGCATATTTGTTAAGGTAGTTTAAAATGCCCATAGAAATAAACCATTGAATTAATCACTAAGATGTCAGAAGACAGTCCTGAAAATAGTCCTGGAATTCAGCCTGGACACTTCTGATCCGGACTGGGCAAGCTTCAGTTGCTTCATCTAGGCAGCACAGGCCAAAACAGTCACAGAGATATTGTGGAAACAACCCAAGATAAAAAAAAAAATGGTGTCTGCTAAACAGAGGGGTTTATCTTTTTGATATGGAAACCAAGGAGGCAGCAGGAACTAATCTGGAAAAACAAAGGCAATCCTGTGTCAAAAGAACAGGGAGCAGGTACAAGCTGGAACTCTGTTCTTTAGGTATGGTCCTCCTTTCACATGATGGGATTTCATATGAATGGATTAATAGAATAGTAATTTTAAAAAGACTCAACAGATTTCTCTCCTTTTTGTTTTATGTGTATAGTGAATAGTAACAAACATAGGCCAATACCTACATGATATCATTACATACCAGGCACTGGTTTAGCATTTCCTGCGTGTTTAAACCCAGTATATACCCAGCATACACACAAGGATATTGAGGCACGGATACCTAAGTCTCATCCAAGATCACAGCACCAAAGGGTGGAACCTAAGTAATCTGGTTCAAAGCCCGAATTCTGTCCTGTACTCCTCCGGCCCAAACATTTGCTTTGCAGGGCCAGAAACTTTTTGAGCTAACATTTTTTTAAGTGACAAGCTAATGGCTGATCATATGAACATAAATGTTGTTTTATTAGCTTCTCAGAAGGTGCATTTTTCTCTGCTGATTTCAGAGAATTGATAATTGTATTATTTCTATTCTCCTCATCCATTTCACCAGCTCTTACCCTGCTATGTTAACTAACTCCCACATTAACCTTACTAGGAAGATGATGTTACCATTTCACTTTACAGGTGGGCTAGAGGTTAACAGAGAAACAGAAGGTAAGTCCTTTTCTCCAGTTTACATGTTTGGAAGTGGTATTGGAATTTTCATCCAAGCCTTTGTAACTTCAGGAATGCTTTTTAACTATTCTATTAATAAATCTTATGTACAAATTTAGCTCTACTTTATGACTCTTCTGCTACTTCATAGCACATTTTGTGGATGTCTCAGTTATTTTAGAAATTTTATAAGAAGAGACAACATTACAATACAGTGGGTTAAGCCATCACTTGCAATGCTGGCCTTCATGTCATAGTGCCAGTTCAAATTCTGACTGTTGTGCTTCCGATCTAGCTTCCCGATAGCGTACTTGGGAAAGCAGCACAACAATCCCATGAATTGTGCTCCTGTCGCCCACATGAACAACTAGAATGGAGTTCTTTGTTCTTGGCTTCTGCCTGATGCAGAATCGGCTGGGGTGGCCTTTTGGGGGAGCAAACCAAAGAGATGCCAGAGATTGACTTTCTTTTTTTTTTTTTAAGATTTATTTATTTTTATTACAAAGTCAAATATACAGAGAGGAAGATCTTCCACCCAATGATCCACTCCTTAAGTGAGCACAACGGACAGTGCTGTGCTGATCCGAAGCCGTGAACCAAGAACTTCCTTCCAGGTTTCCCACTCTGGTGCAGGATCCCAAAGCATTGGGCTGTACTCAACTGCTTTCCAAGGCCACAAGCAGGGAACTGGATGTGAAGTGGAGCTGCCAGGATTAGAACCGGTGCCCATGAGGGATCCCGGCACATTCAAGGTGAGGACCTTAGCCACTAGGCCATGGCGCTGGGCCCACAGTGATTGACTTTCTGTCTCTCTCACCCCCACTCGTTCTGTGACTTCATCCCTTCCTCCTTCCCTCTACCTCTTCCTCAACTATTCTACCTTTAGAATAAATTACATTTTTTAAAACTATTCTTTAAATTTGATTTACATTTTTTATTAATTTAAAGAGAACAGCTTTATGTAGTTCATAAATAGAATCCAAGAATATAATGGTACTTTCCTTCCTCTTTCTCTCCATGCCATTTCTTTTCAGTTTTAATTTTCAGTGGTATGTTTATTTGAGAGAGTTACAGAGAGCCAGGGAGAGACAGACACACAGCGAGATTTCTTGTTCTGCTGGTTCACTCCCCAGATGGCCACACAGCCATGCTGGGCCAGCCTGAAGCCAGGAGATTCTCCTGCATCTGCCCAGCACTTAGGCATCTTCTGCTGCTTTCCAGGGCACTTAACAGAGTTGGATCAAAAGTGGAGCAGCCCTTGTGGAATGTTGGTATTGCAGGAGGTACTTAGTCAGCTACTCCATAACACCAGCTCTTCCTTTTAATTTTTGTGATAATATATTTTTAATTTATTTTATGATCAAGGGCTTAATGCTCCATAAAAAACTTTCAACAAGTAAGAAGTAGAAAGACCATTGTTCAGAAAGATTATAGGCAACAACTATAAATGTTAATTAAGTGCAATGATGCTAATTTCATTTATATATATTAAAATATATTCCCTCTGTATATTACAAATTTAAAAAAACATGTGATATTTGTCTTTTGGGGTCTGGCTTAATTTACTAAATTATAATGATCTCCTGTTTCATTCATTTCATTATGAAAGGCAGGAATTCATTCTTTCATTATGTCTTATTCCATCGTGTCTCTCTCCTTCTCTCTCTTTCTCTCTCTCTCTCTCTCTCTGTTTATGTGTGTGTTTACATACATATATACAACATACTCTTCATCTAGTATGCAGCTGATGGACATCTAGTATGCTTCCATGTCTTACCTATTGTGAATTGAAGTGGTATAAAATTGAGGGGTATAAGTAACTCTCCCATGTCCTTATTTCCTTTCGGCATATTCCTAATATTTGGATGGCTGAGTCACAAGGAAGATCTGTTTTAAGTTTTTTGAGGAATCATTATGTTGTCCTCCATTATGGTTGTACAGAAATGACAGGCCTGACGTGAGGGACTCCATGTTGAGCTGGGTTTCATCGCAGGTGAAATTCCCATCGTAGGAGCTTCATCTCCGACCTGTGAGACTAACCTGGTAGAGAAAGCCACTTCCTGCTTGACAAGAACACTCAAACCCCTGGCTAGGCTATTCAAGCATGACTGGGAGAAAAATGAGTTTCACCTGATATAGCAACAAAGGCTTGCAGAGTTAGTGATTAATAATTTTTTATCCCTGAGATAGTTCTGCATTAGCTCAGTGCCCCTGAACCCCTCCTGGTTTGTAATATTTTTGCCTTTATAATCACTGTTGTTCAGGGGCCAGAGGTCTTTCGGGCATGAGTCCATTCTCCACTGCTGGTAATAAAGGACTTTGACATTCTAATCAGTGTGTGGGGCTCCAGTTTACATTTTGACCAATATTTTAGGGTACTTTTTCCTTCACTTTCTCACCAGTATTTGTTATTTTTTGGTTTTGGAAAATAGTCACTGTAACTAGGGTGAGGCAATATCTCATTGTGATTTGTGATTCTAAACACACACACACACACACACATACATACACGCCACAAAATGTAACTCCAATCATTCTGTTGAAATAAAAATAAAAAATTTCCAGAAATGAATTTGCATTTGTCCATCTAGTTTTTTGCTATTTATACTGAGATGAGAAAATCATTGTAGTTGTTAAAATCTTTAAGTTGTAAGTTTATTGTGACCATGTATCTTGAATTTTCAAGATAGATTTTATTTAATACATAAGGTGATATAAAAAATCAAATAACAAAATTTTTAAAATTGAATTCAATGATATTTACCTTCAAAATGAAATTGCAAGTGGGAAAAAATTCAGGCTCTGATCTCTGGTTTCTAGTGCATAGTAAAGTGCTAGACTCCTCCTGGCTTCCTCTATGCTATGGCTTGCTCGGCTGACATCCATCACACCCCACTGGAAAATGAGTAGTGGCTCAGTGTGTGAAAGTCCTTAGCTGGTTCTAAGAGGAGAAGTTCCTGTTTCGATACTTTTTTTAAAATTAAAAAAGATTTTTTTTTTTTTGAGAGGCAGAGAGACCTTAGAGGGGGAAGATGGGAATCAAAAAGGAAGGAGGGAGGAAGAATTGATCAAACATTTTCAAATGTTTTCACAAGCTGTGAATGTGCCAAGCTGGCTCTGGGAGAAAGCAACTCAACCCGTCTCCCTTATGACTGACAGTGCCCAGCTGCTTGAGGTACCACCTGCACGTGGGGAGGCTGGAACTGCGAGCAGACAGAAACTAAAACCCGGCCCTTGGATAGGAGGGGCAGCATCTCAGCAGATATCTTAGCTGTTACACCAAATACCTGCCTCTTAACTCATACTTCTTCAGTGCAATGTTAATTAATTTTTGAATTTTACGAATCATTGAATATTGTCTTCCTTGGGAGGAAACAAAGGCATGATGGATGACTTTGGTTTATCACAAATCTGCACACTCCTTTCTTGGTAAATGAATACAGCAGTCTTGAGGCATAGCTAAAGTCTAAATTCAAAGCGCAAAGGCAGCAGGATTAAAGAAATCGAGTCGAGAAAGAAAACTAGTGATAGCTGTGAAATCCTAACTAAAATGGAATGAAAGGAAAGCTGATGGAAATTATCATCTGAATCACCCTCCACAGGTAAAACGCTTCTGGTTCAACCTATGCTACTACAATAAACCTTAATAATGTTGGATCAGGCTGTATTCCTGGCACCAGGACCCAGATGCTCTAGGAGGGGTTAAGAACAGCAGCAGGTCCATATCAGTTGAAATACTGCTGCTGTACACTCTGTAGGAGTTTCTGAACAGACAGACTAGAAAGTTTAAAAACTTCTGCTATGAACACATAAAAACCACTCATTGTACCCCATCATCACTCTCTCATTACCCATTAGTTCAAACAGTTATTTTGATCTTCATAATAAGTACAAATAACAGTCCCAGCCATAACAGACATCTGACTTTGATCAAGTTAAATGTCCTGTTTGTAAATTGGGGCTAATGTTTGGAGTGCTCACTCACTCACTCCATGGAGCTACTTCAAGGCTTGGGTCAAGGGCTACAATGCCGACTAGCTCTTGCAGTGCCACCAGAAGAATGCATCCTTCTTCTGCCAGGACACTGCCCATTGCAGACACAGACAACCCGATGAATCCCATGATCCCAATATGAAAACTGTACCTCTGCCATCACACACCCTTACATTAGCACTGAAGATGACTGGGCCTTCAATCCTAAATAGTAGGCAACATTGAATCAATGACTTCACCTAAAACATCAGCACATCCTTGATAACAACGATCATCATCAGGGGACCACACTGGTTCTATCACACACAGCTTATCCTGCACAGACATCCAGGGTAAAATTCATGTTTCACCCCTTCCCAGCCTCCCCTGCATTTCCTCTGCGCTCTCTGGGAACTCAATCATTAATCAGAAAAAGTCTCCCCATCACCAGTCTCCTCTGTGAACAAGCTCCTCTAAGCACCTTTTTTCAAAATATGTATTCTGATTTAAAAGCCAAACCTTTTGAAAGATGAGAGGAAAGATGAGAGAATCTTCTATTTGCTGGTTTACTTACTAAATGACAGCAATGGCTAGAGCGGGAACAGTCTGAAACCAGTAGCCAGGAGTTTCTTCTAGGCATTCCATGTGGGTGTAGAGACTCAAGAACTTGGGCTGTCCTCCGCTGCTTTGCAAGACCATTAACAGGAAGCTGGTTCAGAAGTGGAGCCACTGGGATTCAAACCTTTATTCATATGGGATGCTGGTGCAACAGATGAAGGCTTACTGTACTACGACATGGTGCTACCCAATCCCACACACATTTTGCTCTAACTGGTATCTCTTCTGAGGATACAACCCCCAATGCTGTGTGTGACTTTTGTTCTACACTCATCTCCTGATCCAAGAGGCGAGATACAGGGTTTTCTTAACTCCTCGTTTCTGGTTCAAGATAATTTCTCCCTTCCTAGAAACACCAACTCATACACAGAGTGTGCCAAACAATAACTGTGATGTCTTACTGAAGTCTTCTGCAATATTCCTGGCCACATTCCTGCATTTATTTAAGATTTTAGCAGTAGGCTCACCTCTTTCCCTTCATTACCATCCTGATGCCAGTAGGACCTATATAATCTTTCCAACTTTCTGGCCTCCTTGGACACCAACTGTCTTGACTTTACCCATTCAAATACCCCAACTCTAGCAATTCTCTGGCCTAATGGAGTTCAATACTTATTCTCTGCTTATACTCCCCTCATGTCTTCATTTTCCTGTATGAGAAAATCTTCGAAAATTTCATGCAAAGTGCAGATTATTTTTAAAAATCCATAAATTAGTTTTGACACAACTTACACCAAATAAATTTTACTTTAAATTCAATTTTTCTAAAATCCTTTTGAAGTTTCCTTATAGGTTTCATGAACAATTACTAAAATGACCCTCTGGGAAATACATCAACTCTCCTTCTTCCCTTCTATGTTTCATTTCCTGTGCCTCAATAAAAGACATAATAAAATATCAAGAACTATTTCTGATTAACTTTCTTCCTATTCTTAATTTGTACCCGAGGCAGGATTAAATCCCAGGTGGCTTTTTCCTACCTTGCTGTGTATAGGAGTTGGAATTATCTATTGGAGGAGGAACCTGCAGTAACTTGGAGGTCAAGTTTTGGAATTAAGATTTTATTCAGTGGTCACTGGTGATCCTGAAAGAGTTATGGACTGGGGAAGGAAACACTGGGTAACCTCCATTTCTCCAAGTCTCATCCAAAGTTCTCTTCTCCACCACCAGCTAATGTGGAATAGATTTCTGCTTATTTCTAGCTAGATGTTATTACATCCTAATTTATCATCATTGCTCATTAGTTTGTATCCTCAAATAAGTTTCATCCTTTTTATGGCAGGAATAAATGTTTTCATTGCTGTATTTTCAGCCAATGACGAAAATCAGTTATACTGAACAATTCAAAAGGCCAGAGCATCACTGAATGAAGGCAGTATGTAAACAATTAGCCATCCAAAATTCCATGTATGTTATCAGTAAAAATACAGTGCAATGAATTCATTTGGCCTATTTCTTATACTGAATTCTTCCCTAAGGAAATGAGATTACCATATGAGTGGGTTTTCATTGGAGAAAGGGGACTATGAAGATACTGGTGGCTAAAGGAAGACATAAACAATAGTGCAGAGATGGATAGACATAATATTATCTAGTGAACAGATTTGAGGAGCCAGAGTATAGAGTGAGCAGGGTAGGAGAGGGCAGGCAATTTCTCTTCCCCAAGGCCATTCTTACTGAGGATATCCAATCACTTAAAGAGGAGATAAAGAATCTCTGTTTCCTGTGTATAGTGATTCTTTGGTGGAGAAAGCCTTTGTCGGATTAATGTTATATCACGTTGCCTCCTTCTGGTCTATGTCTGCCTATACTCTCTTCCTGAAGGACTTTCAGTCCATCCATCACCAATTATAAAGCCATCAGAACTTTCATCCAAGAATCCTAAGGTGGATCTGGCATAGCACATCTCTCCAGAGTTCCACATGAAAGTACTGGTCAGCTCATCTTAGAGTCCTGCCTCCTCATTTTCCTGTTCGCCACTGCTCACTTCTTCATTTTTGGAAAATCAGTAAGATTCCTTCAGACTTCTTTTTGGCAGATACAAAACAATAATTACGTAGGCTCCTGATCATACAAGTTCTTGGGTCAGATATATTTTGGCATTTAAAAGTGTTCTGGTTTAGGAAAGTGCTGTATTATAAAGTCTGTATCTATAAGCCCTAGTGTGTTCTGAGGCAGCATGCTGCAATCAAAGATGTTAACCTTTCTGTAATAGGACATATTCATGCTCGTCTGATGTGCAATAGAGATTAAAAATTGTCTCATGTTGGTTAAAGTAGGTTTTAAAGTAAAAGAAAAAAAATCTTTGAAAGTTAATGATATTTTTTCAGGAAACATTAGATATTGGAATTATGGAGACAGGATCATGGATTTGTTCTTATCCATTTCCTAGGAATATTTTAAAGGTTAGTAGTGTAGAAGAAAGGAAGGAGGGAAGGAGGGAAGGAGGGAAGGAGGGAAGGAGGGAAGGTGGGAAGGAAGGAAGGAAGGAAGGAAGGAAGGAAGGAAGGAAGGAAGGAAGGAAGGAAGGAAGGAAGGAAGGAAGAGGAGGAGAGAGAGGCAAGGAAAGAGGGAGCAGGGAAAAAGGAAAGAAGGAAGAGGGGAAGGAAGGAAGGGGGGAAGGATGGATGGAGGGGGGAGGGGGAGAGAGAGGCAAGGAAAGAGAGAGCAGGGAAGGAAGGAAAGAACAAAGAGAAAAAGAAAGTCCTATCTCATGGCATAAAGGCAGCTGTATGATTATCCTCTAACCCAACAGGGAAACTTAGATTTTTTTGTAAATGTTTGCTAATAGTAACCCAGTATCACCCAAACATTCTTCAGGGTTCTACTGGCTCAGTTCAGATCATGTGATGCCATTTATGAAAAATTGGCAATGTTTCATAGTTACAACAATGAAGGTATGTGTTTCTTTACCATTACACTTGTAGCCACACAGTTCTGTATCTCCTCTAAAATGAACCACGGTTTCACTATACCACTAAATAGGCCAAGGAACAGCTTTCACCTAGCATCTGGGATGTCTGTGTCAGATATTTACTATCCAAATTCTGCTCACCATTCTAGGCAGAGTTCAGATGCTTTCTTTCAGTGATCAGCTTATTCAGAATTTAACTTGTCCCTTTCAGATAACTTCTAGCAATGAATATCAATTCTAGCTGTACATGGCATTTCTAAGCCTGCCCCCAGTGAAATACAATGTCACCAGATGCCTGTCCCCATGAAGTGCAATGTCACTGGATGCCTGCCCCCAGTAAAATGCAATGTCATGAGACTCCACATTTTATGAATCACCTTGTAGGATTACTTTGAAACCACTTCAGGACCTGGACCAAGGAAGAGATTTGGGGATACACTTGATAGCTTTTAATCTGTAATCTCTTTTGTTCTCATGCTCCTACTTTTCTTGTCCTACTATAAGTACTCAAAGTAGGTAGATGCTTTATCTTGCCCGTGTTCTATGGACATTGCTAGGGTAGGTAGAGAAGCATTGATGTCTTTTGTAGAAACCACAGGTTCAAGCATGAGTAACTCTTAGTACACAACAGATATTTTTCAAACTAACACTGAGTAAAGTGAACCGATAGATCTCAAGAGTGATGACCTTGAATGGAAATGCTGGTTTTTTTTCTTTTTAAGCTTTCTTAGATACCTGTAAATAAATCATTCCAATGATGCATCTAAAATGCCATCATGTCAGTCTGTTCTTTAAACCCTCTGTGGCATTCAGTGATCTTTAGGATAAATAATATCCCTTACCTGGATACCTAAGATGCTCTCTATTCTGTCCCCACTGACATCACCTGCTTCATTCCCTACTACTCACAGCTTTCTCTAACTCAGCCCTCTAATAAGACTGCGCTTGCCTCTGCACATAGGTTCATGCTGTTCCCTCCGCCTAGACTGCCCTTTTGCATTTCTTTTTCTGGCCAAATATTGTTATCTCCTGAGATTTGACAGAACTATCAGTCCCTTCCAGAAGCCTTTTCCTGGGTTGAGCTGATAGCAGCTGTTTCAAGGTTTTATAGCAGCCTTTGCTTGTCTCTGTGTTTCTGTTTAGCTAATCTTACTAGGGAAATCTATGCATGTGCCTGCTCCACCCACACTCCCAGACCCTCAGATACATGGGTAGGATTGCATTCTTTTTGTTTTCAGGATTCTAAAAGGCTTTAGTCACTCTGCCCAAGTGCACAGAGTAAGTAGATAAGTAACATACACTCTTTTTAGTCAACCTGAACTACTTAGAAAACATTTATGCATTTATGCATTTGTGTATGCACTTATGGAGATAGATGAAAATGAGAAGTAATTCTGGATAAAATAATTGAAAGATGTCTTAAAATTCTTATGCTATGCCTTTTTATGTGATTCCGTTTCTCAGCATTGCAGGCATATAGCACATGTGTATATTACCTTACTTTTGTACTGCTTACAAGAGACTTTTGAGGTGTGCTATTCAAGATGAGAAACACTTATACATACACACATACACACACACATGCACATAATAGAGATTGTTGAAGCTCATTCAGGCC